CTTTTAAGTGATGTAGAGTAAGTCAGTAGTTGGTTAAACTTAAAAACAAACTTAAATTACATGAAGTGAAGAATAAATTGAGATAAAATGGCGCAAATTTCAATTAAGCAACAAAAACATAGAAAAAACTTAAAATATTAAATATTTTGGAGTAATTATAGATAGTGGAATCAAACGATAACTTTGAATATATTTATATGTTTTTAATAATAATTAATAGTAAATAAACCCCATTTGAGTATTGCTCCACTATTAGATATACATGCTGCAACCAAACACATATGGAAACGCTCCAAAAATTGGAAAATAAGGGATTGAGACTTATATTGCAATGTATATACAATACATGAATTAAAGTAATCATTGAAACTTTAAAATAGCTAAATATCAAAAAACGTCTTAAACTAAGTACTCTTATGACCACAAAGCTAAAAATCAAAATGCACCCAAATATTTAACTAATAAGATTGAGTATGTAGGAGAATAACAAAAATATGATCTAAGAAACAAATGTGAATTAATTATAAACAAAATTCTAAAGCCCAAATGTCACTGCTTTATATATTGTAGCGCTGCCTTGAAATATAATTTATCTACATTTTGTGAAGATGTCAAATAAAAAGGTTTTCCATACAGACAGATAGATGGGCATGGCTAAATCGACTGAGCTCGCCATACTGATCATTTATGTAAGTATATATACTTTATAAGATCTCCGACGTTTCCTTCTGGGTGTTACAATCTTCATGGTAAACATAATACGTATACCCTTGTAGTTGTTATAGCGGCAGAAAACATTCCTGAAATAAATTGGAAGAATGCTGCCGAGTTGACAGTCCTTGGCCGGATAAAAATGCAGGTCCATTCCGGTTTGTGGGAATGGAGGTTTAAAACTGTATAATACATTGCCAATGGAATTAAAATACGAAACCATGAATATAGCATTTAGGCATAAATGTATTGAATTAATTAGAAAAGAGATAATGTAACTTTATGTTAAATATTTTTTTATACTAATAAATAAACACAATAAATTAAAACTTTTTTTTGGTTTGACTAATTTTAGATAGATCTTCAAGGATTAGTGATAGTCACCGCAATCCAATTTTATTGGAACTGGATCATCACAAACAGTCATTACTATTAAAAATTATTATTTTATCAAATTGCTGTCAAGTCAAGTCGAAACCTTATTTAATGATGATATGTTTTTACTTTTATAAAACTATTGGCAAAAAAAAATTATTTTTTAAATAAGTGAAAATTTTTAATGTCTCTGACTACACCTAACCCTCTATAACAACTACTTGAGGGTGTTGAGAACATATTTACACATCGAATGGATGAAATAAACACATTAAACATGTAAAACAACAATGCTAGAAGTAAACAAAATCTATGAAGTATATGAAAAGTTCAATAAACATGTATGGCAGCCACATGCTATGGGTCCGATCTGAATTTGGAAATTTGTTCGTTGACTTGGACAATAATCCCTTCAAATTTTTGTGAAGATATCTCGTAAAATAAAAGAATGTTTTCATAGAAGAACTTGATCTCGATCGTTCAGTTTGTATGGTAGCTGTATGATATAGTGTCCCGATATTGGTGGTTCCGACAAATGACTTCGTGGGAAGAAAACGACGTGTGCAAAATTTCAGTACGATATTTCAAATACTGAGTGACTAGTACGCGTATACAGACGGAAGAATTGCTGATCTTCGACGCTTAATTCTGGATATTACACACTTCGTTGCAAACTTAATATACTCTGTTCAGGGTATAAAAAAAATAGGAACGATCCACTGAATAGAACGTGGATTAAATAGAAATGATTTTAAAGAAAATATCTACAGGTCATACAAGTTATAGAATAAACACGTTTGATAACAAAGAAGTTTAAAAATACTTTAAAACAAGTAAGGAAGGGCTAAGTTCGGATGTAACCGAACATTTTATACTCTCGCAAAGTCAAATGGTATACTCGTTTGAGATTTCTTTGTGGATTGCCTGATATTTTTGGTAGAAGGTCAACTATAGGCACTGGGGTCCACATATTTAGTACTTAGGGGCTTGAACAGTTTTGGTTCGATTTAGACAATTTTTGGTCACAAGGTGGCATACTTTAAACGTATTATTCACGCAAAGTTTTACCCCGATATAATCATTGTTACTTGATATGCATAGTGGGAAGTGAAAGAATCAGATGGAATTGAAAATGGTGTTATATGGGAAATAGACGTGGTTGTAGTCCGATTTCGCCCATTTTCGCACTATAACATAGAAATATGAAAATAACGTTATGTACCGAATTTTGTTGAAATTGGTTAGGCAGATCTCATGATATGGGTTTTCACCTAAAAGTGGGCTGTGCCACACCCACTGTCTAATTTTGAACGCGGTTCCTATAAAGTCATCTCATACCATCCCAGAGATAAAATTTAATGTCTCTGGCGTGTATCGTGCTTGATTTATCGCGCTTTTAGTAGTTTTTAACAGTACCGTTATATGGGGAGTATTCGGAGTTTCCACCCAATTTCAACTATTTTCACACCGTCAATAGAAGTGCTAAAAACATTTGCTTCCAGTGAATTTTGTTATTATAGCATTAGCGGTTTAGGAGATATGCACATTAAACCTATTAGAGGCGGGACCACGCCCACTTTAAACCAAAATTTAACTGCAGATGCCCCTCTCTAATGTGATCCTGTGTACGAAATAACAGTCTTGTATCTTATTGCGGAGCTTAGTTATGGCAATTTATTTGTTTTTGATTAATGGCGTTTTGTGGGCGTGGCAGTGGTCCGATTACGGTACCAAGAAACATGTCTACCAAGTTTCATAAAGATATCTAAATTTTTACTCAAGTTACAGCTTGCACGGACGGACAGACAGTCACCCGGATTTCAACTCGTCTCTTCATCCTGATCATTTATATATGTATAACCCTATATCTAACTCAATTAGTTTTAGGTGATACAAACAACCGTTAGCTGAACAAAACTATTATACTCTGTAGCAACTGGTTGCGAGAGTATAAAAAATGTAATTAAGAAAAACAACTAGTGTCATGTGGTAAAGTTTCAATAATAAATTCGGTAGAATTTGATGTGTTGTTATGTAATGACAGTGAAGTAATTTCGAACAAATTTAATGATAAAACTTTTTATTTTAGTTCGATTGCAAAATAATGGGGTTAATGGGAGTTGTTGATATGTACGGATAGAGGATCTCTCCAGATTAAGAAAATACATAGATATACCATATATAGTTGCCGCTGACTTGTGGTTTTTGAGTTTAAAGTTCAAAAGTTATTGAATTCGCGCAGAATTTAAATGCAAAATATAAAACTATAAGTCAGCGGCAACTAAATGTATATATTTTCTTAATCTGAAGAACCTTCTCTATCCGTACATACCCATTTTAACCTCGAATTCGCGTGATGCTTTTCTAAATCCTAGCCTTAATTTCTTGCCATTGGGGCATTATCTGTTTTCTTTACTTCTTTCTTTTGTTATTATGTGAATAAAAAAAGGGAACAGAAATTAGATATTGAATTAAAGGTAGTTTTGCACTATTTAATATAAAATAAACGTGTGGAAACGAAGGTAAATGTATAGTTTACTATATTAGTATTTTGACGCGAAGATTACAAATCCATGAGCATTAAATCAATTTGTTCAGGAATTCAATTTTTTTTCAATTTTTAATCATACTTAATCACACACTTTACACATGTTCTGTTGCTTGGTAACTCCTTTCTGCACAGGCGGCCTTCGGCCGCGCATAAAAAACCCTGGTCGGTTGTTGTTGTTGTAGTGACAGAATTTTGCTGAGTTGACAGTCCTTGGGCGGAAAAAATTCGGGTCCGTTCCGGTTACGTAGACCCGACTGTTATGGGAACGGAACCCTGATCGGTCCAAAAAATAGGGTGTTCATAATTCATTCACGTCGAACTCCTTTCCGCCACAGTTAAAAGAAAACCCTGGTCGCCCGGATGTCCATAGTTCTTTTGCATCGAACTTCTTGCAGCACGCAATATAACTCTGGTCTCCGGTGTTCGACCGACCGGGGTTTTATCTGTTTACATTTCTATCACTTCATTTACAAAAGATGTCGATAAGGTAATACTGGTTATTTGACATTTTGCAACCCTTTTGTTATTGGCAGATAACAGGGTGGTAATACCGCGGCCATTAGGAAGCGCAATGGCAACAATCGAGGCCACGGCCCAGTAAGCGCAACTCAGCCCGCAGGCCGAGGTTGCGAAAGGGCAGCTCCCTCGACCACCCAAGCGGCGAAGCGGACAGCTGACGCCGCAGGAGCCGACCAACACCAAGCGGCAGAGAGGCAACGTTGCACAGGCGACTGGTGGCCACCGCTCCGCCCCAAATCCCCCCCGGGTAGTGGAGCGACAGCGCAAGTATGCGGATGCCCTCAAAGGCATTCGTATGGCTGTGCTGTCGCTGAACTACCCGACGGATGTGCTGGGGTCGGAGGAGCTCACCGTGCTTCAAGATTTGCTCATGGAGGAGGTATTCAGAGGGTCTGGATACAAAGCCTCCTTCCATGGGGTGTATTTTAAGGGAGGCATATTACAGGTTGACTGCAAGGATGAAAGGTCGGCTTGTTGGCTGAGGGAGATCGCTCCCAAGCTGGCAGGCTGGAATGGACCCATCCTCTGCGCAAAAAAGGGGGACGAAATTCCGCCCATGCATGGCATGACGGTATTCCTCCCCATATGCGCAGGCAAGCCATACGAGTTTGCTCTCGGTCTCATCCGCAATCAAAACGATGGCCTCAATACATCGTCCTGACGGTTTCCAGCAGCAATGCGGAGGATTTAGGGTGGAGGCTCAACCTCTCCATGAATGACGAATCGTACAAATTCGTCAGGAAGGTGAGCTTCCGCCTGAGCTATAGATTCAGCTCGGTGGTCCCTAGGCCATTCAGGCCTAAAACGATCACCGAGGGCGATGCAGGAGGAAAAATGCAGGTAGATGAGGTTGCGACTCATCCTGCGCAAGTACGTCGAAGCAGGCGGCAACTGCCGAGACATCGGTGAAGGTCCCTTCGGAGAAGACGGGCGAGCAAGGGGGGGCGCTACCCTCTACTCAGGAGCTTCTGGAGTGGCTCCTGAACCTGGCGGGAGACGGTGAGAATGAGGACCAGTTCCTCATGGAGCCGATCCTGTTGTGGGGCCGCGCATAGAAGTTGCCCAGGTAAACCTGGACCACGCGGCGTCAGCCTCGGCGGTTATCGCGAGCAGGTTTACGATGGATGGTCTGGGCATACTACTGATCCAGGAGCCATGGGTCAATAAAGGAGAGGTCAGAGGCCTCAAAATGGACTCAAATAAGGTAATCTGGGATCTCTCAAGTGAGAGACCTAGAACCTGCATAGTACTTAGGAACGGTATTGATTTTTTCTGTATTTCAGAGTTCTTAACACAGGACCTGGTCGCTGTACAAGCCAGGAACGACGAAGGAGCGGACTTCGTCGTGGCAGTGGCCTATTTTCCGGGGGAGACTCCGACAGCACCCCCAGAGGCAGTCGGCAACCTGGTAGAGTACTGCAGGCGGACTAAGCTGCCCCTCATCATGGGCTGCGACGCTAATGCCCACCACACCGAATGGGGCAGCACGGACTGCAACACACGGGGTGAGTCTCTTATCGAGTTTATAGCCAGTAAGAATTTAAGTATAGCAAACGTGGGGTGCGAACCCACCTTTGTAACTAGTGTCAGAAGGGAGGTGTTTGACATTACTCTCAGTAACGAGTCTGAGATAGGGTTGATCTCACAATGGAGGGTATCATCGGAACCCTCCATGTCGGATCACCGTATCATAAGATTCGTGCTGGCGATGGGGGTCAAACAACTCCCTCACAAGCGTATCCCTAGGAACACGGACTGGGCCGCTTTTAGGGACTCGCTTGTAACAAGTCTTAGCAGTAGGGAGCAACTGGATGGAAGCGCAACGGCTTCTGGATTGGAGAGCAGACTGTCTGCCGTAAACCAATCCATTATAGAGGCATATCACAGCAGCTGCCCCCTAAAGACAACCACCAAGAGCAGTAACTGCTCCTGGTGGTCTAGTAAGCTCTCAGTACTAAGAAAAACGGTGCGCAAGCTATTCAATAAGGCTAAGCGCACCGGAAACTGGGAGGATTACAGATGCAGCCTAACTGCTTATAATAAAGAGATTAGGACCGCGAAGCAAACGAGCTTTAGGAAGTTCTGTGAGAGCGTCTCCTCAACCCCAGAGGTAGCTAGACTGCATAAGGTTCTGGCTAGAGGCAAGACGGCGATTAAACGATCTGATGGGACCTATACGTCCAGCGCAGAAGAAAGAGCTACGGCTCTTCTACTAGCGCATTTCCCGGAGACGATTCAAGAAGACCAGTTTCGACCTATGGTCGAACGAAGGCCATCACGATTGGACTGGACAGTCGCAAAACAGCTCTTCACTGCAGACTCCATCAAGGCTCTGGCCTCCTTTGAAAAGTATAAGTCACCGGGTGCGGACGGTATTCTTCCAGCTTTTCTGCAACAGGGGGAGCAGGTGCTACTCCCCACCTTGTTCGGCTGATGAAGGATAGCCTAGCGCTGGCATATATCCCAGAACCATGGCGCACTGCAAAGGTGATCTTCATACCCAAAGTAGGGAGGAAAGACTACTCATTGGCGAAATCATTCAGACCAATCAGTCTTACTTCCTTCCTACTTAAGAGTATGGAAAAGATCATAGAATTACGAATTACGATCGAAGGTGCTGAAGACTTCACCGCTTCATGCGAAGCAACATGCTTACAGAGCAGGCAGGTCAACAAACACTGCTCTGTACCAGCTAACCTCAGAGATCCAGAATTCGTGAGATGGGGGCGAGGTGATGCTATGCGCCTTCCTCGACATCGAAGGTGCCTTTGACAACACGCCTCACGAAAGCTTGTCAAGAGCACTGAAGAAAAGGAGTGTGTCGGCACCAGTGCGCAGATGGATTGCAGCCATACTGCGCACTAGGGTGGCGGAAACCACAGTAGGAGACACTAAAATTCGTCTGGGCACAACAAGAGGTTGCCCACAGGGTGGAGTGCTATCCCCCCTACTTTGGAGCCTAGTTGTGGACGATCTCCTTGAGCGGCTGACTAGCAATAGAATCCGCTGTCAGGGATATGCGTATGACATTGTTAACTTAGCTAGGGGAAAATTTGAAGACACACTCTGCGATATCGTTCAGAGGGGACTGAGAATGGCAAACGGATGGTGTAGTGGGGTTGGCTTAAACATCAACCCCGCTAAAACTACAATCATTCCCTTCACCAGACGGAGGTCACTGCCGGGCCTCAGAAATATATCCCTGGACGGCAGAGTGGTGGAGATGGCCAGCACGGTCAAGTATCTGGGCCTCACGCTGGATTCCACTCTACGATGGAATCGGAACGTGGACCAGACCCTAAACAAAGCTATAAAAAACACTCATGGTGTGCAACCGCATTGCTGGAAAATCTTGGGGGTGCTCCTCAAAGACCCTCAGGTGTATGTACACCATGATCGTGAGACCGATTAGGGGTGACTGCTAAGGGGATGCACTATCAAGTGGTGCACCGACGGGTCGAAAACGGAGGAGGGGATTGAGGCAGGTGTCGCTGGGCCAAGCACCAAACTCTCCATTCCCATGGGAAGTTTCCCTAGCATTTTCCAAGCCGAGATCTATGCTATAAGTCGGTGCGTAGGGATAAACCTTCAACGCAGCTATCGCAATAAAAGTATTGCTATACTCAGCGATAGTCAGGCGGCACTAAGAGCGATCTCTGCCTATGAGGTCAGATCTCTTCTAGTGCTGGAGTGTATAGAACGGCTGAACAACCTATCAGAGCACAACCGAGTGCACCTTAACTGGGTGCCTGGCCATAGGGCTATAGCTGGGAACGAACTAGCTGACAAGTTGGCCCGCTCTGCAGCCTCTACAAATATGGTAGGACCGGAACCATTCATAGCGGTTGGTCCACATACCATCAAAGAGCTCCTCCGTAGGGAGGAAAGAGCAGGCAGGGAGATACATTGGCAACAACTAAAGGGCATGCACCATGCCAGACTGCTAATGGGGTGTTACGACCTCAAGCGGTTCAAAGCCATAATTAATCTCCCAAGGAACAAATTCCGGCTAATGGTAGCGTTCTACACCGGCCACTGCAGGCTCAAGAAGCACCTCTTCAACATGGGTATAGCCTCTCTGCAAACTGCCGGTTCTGCGACATAGAGCCGGAAACCCCTGCACATCTGCTGATGAACTGCACAGCAGTCTGCAGACGCAGAATCAAGGCCCTGGGATCCAGGTTTCCACACAGGGATTGTATCGCCTCACTAGCACCAGGAAGAATTTTTGAATTTATCAACATTCTGAGCCTAGATGATACGATATGACTTAGGGGGGGCACAATAGACCATAGGTCGCGGTGCATACCTCAAAATTAATCTAGTCTAATCTATTGGCAGAATTAATAAATTTACCAATAATTTTAATATTGAATTAACAAATTTTTGCACTGTATAATGTAAAATAAATGAGTACAAACGAATTAGTGAAGTGTTAGTGGATATAAAAGTGAAAAATATAAGTGTACAATGCGTACCTTAAATATTTGAAATTTTCAGCTTTAAACGTAAGTATCTCGAAAACTATAAGTTTCCCGCGGCTCTGGAGAATCTCCTCTATCCGCCCATATCCATTTTATCCCCGAAAGCCTGGGATTGTATACTAAAGTTTTCCTCTGTACCATACCGTATTTTTAAAACCCAGCCTTATCGTACCTTGCCTATTTTTAATTACTTTAATCTAGCCTGCTCTTACCTTAAAAGCTGCATGCGCCCTGTTTATCGGTCAACTACATTTAAAAGCACAAATTTTCCAAAAAATTTGATACTTTTTCAGAAAAACCGCTGTTCTAAACATTAACCTTATACTTTTGCCATTCTCATAGAGTTTCCAAACAGTTTCAAGATCTCAAACATGCGTTTCTATATGGTCGAATCCTGCAGGAAAAACAGTCCATACGGAATCGGGTAGAGGAGGAAGTATCGGAAACTATCATAAGTAACGACCTTTCGATTGGCAATTCCCACCACAGCCGGTTCTAGGTTACCGGAATTGACCCGGACTTTATCCGGCCAAGGGCTGTTATTTCGATTGGGATCTAACGCTGTTTGGATCGGTGGGTGTTAGTTTAAGTTTGTCGTCATTAGCGCAACGCCTAGCTGCAGGGTTGTTCCGTATCCTCACAATCACACAACGCTACTTAAGGACCTAGAACAATCAACGCTCCCTCCAGGGCTGAAGCGGTTGACTATGAACTAGCTGAGCGGTCGGCATTCATCCGTATTGTTTCGAGGTCAAAACTCCAAACTTAGAAGAATTAAACAGGGGGTTCTGCAGGGTGGTGTCCTCTCCCCGTTGCTGTTTAATTTCTACATTTCGTAACTCCCCCAACCAGCAGCGGGAATTTCCGTGACCTCGTACGCTGATGGCTGCACGATATTGACGTCGGGCAATGGAATTGATGACATCTGCTCGAAAGTAAACAGCTACCTCTCCAACCTTTCTCGCTTCTTCTCTGCAAGGAGTCTAACACTCTTCCCACTAAATCCACAGCGACCATATTCACAAATTGGACGAAGGAATACAGACTGGACCTGAACATTTCAGTCGATGGCACAAAAATTACGACGGTTAATAACCCTACAATTTTAGGCGTAACATTGGACAGTCTGTGCCCCTTCACTCTTCACACGACCGCGATAACTGCCAAAGTACAGAGCCGCAACAAAATCCTCAAATCGCTTGCCGGCAGCTCTTGGGGAAAAGACAAAGAAACGTTGTTGCCAACATTCAAGGCAACCGGCCGGTCCTAAACTATGCATCACCAATATGGTCACCTGGATGTATTGCAACGCAGACGAAGAACATAATGAGCTCCTCTCCAACCAGTTTCTGCTTGGGTGTTTTCGCTGAAATCACCGCCATTTACAGTGGAGCCATTAACACCTTCATCGACTCCCTCTCAGTGTATGAAGCTAAACCAGAGCGACCCTCGCGCAACTTCGTTCTGGATATTGTAGAAGGTTAAACTCCTACTTATCCAGAATAGACCCCGACATTCCAAACATATGTCCTGCTTATTATGATGCTAACCACCTCTTTGCATGCCCAACTAACCCAACTGATCTAACTCCCTTTTCCCTATGGTCCCACCCCGTCGAAATAGCTTGTTTCTTGGGCCTCCCGTTAGATGACCTCGACGACAACCAAACTACTACTTATCATCCAAGCGGGGACTAGATAACCGATACAACAACAACAGCAACCAGACGCAGAATCAAGGCCCTGGGATCCATGTTTCCACACAGGGATTGTATCGCCTCACTAGCACTCAGCAGAATTTTGGAATTTATCAACATGCTGGGCCTAGATGATACGATATGTCTTAGGGGAGGGCACAATAGACCATAGGTCCGAAGGCCGCCAGTGCAAATAAAAAATTTAACAAAAAAAAGTAATGTTAAAGAGGATTTATCACTCTCTTTAAACTGCAATATGTATTAAGGATAATTAGGGTGGGCTTTAGTTTAGCATCCCACGATTTCAGGGTTAAGAGGGGTATGTTTGGATAGAGGAGATTCTCCAGATCACGAATATATATAATTATTGCCGCCGGACACTTATAGTTTTCGAGATATTTGCATTCTAAGTTGAAAATTTCACAAATTTTATTTTACAATTTCTCGATTTATGGTTATCTTTTCTTTTATATTATGCACTTATTATACACTAACTTATATTAAATATTTCAATATTTGCTGTAAATAAGCATTTTATTTTTACACACTTTTCGTAATATGAACAATAACAAATGGGTTCCATGCTGTCAGATAATAAGTGTTGCCATATCCAAACGAATGAAAGCAGTCAATATAAATAAAAAACTCAATCACCCTCTACAAAATATTATGAACTTAATTTTACATTTTAATAAAAGAAAAAGGTTTTATGGTGTAGACGTATGTTTTATTGCATCTGATAATTTCACAAATGGATCATGACGCTGATTTGCTATATTTTTACGCCATATGTATTCATATATTAAATTTTCAAAATCTTCACTGCTTTTATAATTATCCTTAATAAAAATTGAATTTTATAGAGAGGGATATACCTTCTTTAACATAACTTTTTTTGTTAAGATTTCTTATTTGCACTGGCGGGCGGGCTTCGGGCGCGCTTCAAAAAAATAACCCTGGTCGGTCCAACACCAGGGTGTTCATAATTCAATCGCGTCAAACTTCTTTCTGCACTGGCGGACTTCGGCCGCGCTTCACAAAAAAGATATCCCTGGTCGGTCCGACACCGAGGTATTCATAATTCAATCGCTACAAACTTCTTTCCGCACTGGCGGCCTTCGGCCGCCCTTCAAAAATATAACCCTGGTCGGTCCAACACCGGGGTGTTCATAGGAAAACTTTAGTATAACGTCCTACGCTTTCGGGGATAAAATGGGTATGGGCGGATAGAGGAGATCCTCCAGATCAAGAATATATATAGATATAACCGCGGGAAACCTATGGTTTTCGAGATATTTGGGTTTAAAGTTCAAAATTTCGACTATTTAAAGTACGTATTTTTTCGTTATAGAATGAATTATACACTTATATTTTTAACTTTTATATCCAGTGACACTTCACTAATTGGTTTTTACACATTTTTTTTATATTATATCATAAAAAATAGCTTTATTTCAATATTTTAATTATTCTTCAATTTTTGTGATTTTCACAATAACAAGATGGTTGCAAAATGTCAAATAACCAGTGTTACCTTATCGAAATCTTTTGTAAGTGAACTGAAAGAAATGAAAACAGTTTATACCCCAATTAAAATTTGTTGAAATTCCACTCATTTTTAAAATAAAAACTTGAATAATAACTTTTATAATTTATCCTTTTCCACAATTTAAGCACAACTCACTAAACGCGTTTGAATTTTTTTGCCAAATATTAAGTAAATAGCAAATGGAAAATACGAAACGGTACTTTTCTTCAAAAGTAACAGTATTAATATCCGTTAGAGAGCATTGATGTTAAGGATTATGTTATACCCTCTATGACAATATTACTTTGTCGCGTAGAACTCCTTTTTGCGTTCCAACACCGGGGTCTACACAAGTTTTTTCGCGCAGAATATTCTTTTGCGTTGGCGGCCTTCGGCCGCGTTCAAAAAAAATAACCCTGGTCCATCCAACACCAGGGTGTACCAAGGTCTTTTCGCGTGGAACTCCTTTCTGCATTGGCGGCCTTCGGCCGCGCTTCAAAATAAAATAACCCTGGTCGATCCAACACCGGGGTGTACACAATTTTTTTCGCGCAGAAATTTCTTTTGCGTTGGCGGCCTTCGGCCGCGCTTCAAAATAAATAACCCTAGTCGGTCGAACACCTGGGTTTATCAAAAGGAAACTAAAAGATTTATTAGTGTCCATCAACAATTATGATTCCTGTATTTAGGGTATAATCTCTCTTTTTATTTTATTTTTCTTCGTTTGCAAAATAAATTAGTATGGCAACACTGGTTATTTGACATTTACAACCATCTTGTAATTGTGAAAATCACAAAAATTTAAGAATAATTAATATATTGAAATAAAGCTATTTTTTATGATGTCATATAAAAAAATGTGTAAAAACGAATTAGTGAAGTGTTAGTGGATATAAAAGTTAAAAATATAAGTGTATAACTCATTCTATAACGAAAAAATACGTACTTTAAGTAGTCGAAATTTTGAACTTTAAACCCAAATATCTCGAAAACCATAGGTTTATTTTTGATCTGGAGGATCTCCTCTATCCGCCCATACCCATTTTATCCCCGAAAGCGTGGGACGTTATTCTAAAGCCGACCCGTGTTCATAATTCAATCGCGTCAAACTTCTTTCCGCACTGGCGACCTTCGGCCGCACTTCACACAAATGTACCTCGTCGGTCCAACACCGGGGTGTTCATAATTTAATCGCGCTTCAAAAAAATAACCCTGGCCAATCCAATACCATAATTTATCAAGAGAAGGGAATGAACAAAATTATATCTCATGTATTTGAGGTATAATCCTCTTTTATTGTTCATTTTAATTCGCTTTCAAAATATAAATATATATGTATATAAACATAATAGATATGGCAACACTTGTTAGCTATCAACATGGAACCCATTTGTTATTGTTCATATAATGCAAATATCTCGAAAACTATAAGTTTTCGGCGGCAATAATTTTATATTGTCGTGATCAGGAGAGTCTCCTGACCCTGAAATCGTGGGATGCTAAACTAAAGTTTTCCCAAAGCAAATATTTCGTAAACCATTTCAGCGGCAACTAAATATGTATATTTTTTTAGTCTGGAGAACGTCTTCTATCCGCAGATACCCATATTAACCCCGAATTCGGGTGTTTTAGATAGGAGCCTCCACAAGCCAATGAACTAACAAGGTAAACAAAATCAGAATTTGTATCAACCGTTCCCCACTTAATTAATATTTACAACACTCTTAAATGCACTTTAGTACTCACACAAAAAACGTATATAAAAATGAAACTGATTTGTAATTTTTATGTACAAAACACTAATAATTTAAAATAAATCACATTTGAAATACAATTTTCTAGACAAATCTGTAAACAAGACCACTTAAAGTAGGCATATTAATAATTTTAGGTTAAAAACTCTTACTTTGCTCCCAGACAACATGGGAAGACTGCAGACTGCTTATGTTTAGCAATAGTTGCCTAAATAATTATCTTGACAACTATATCTCTCAAAAAACTGTCATTTTGGTAGTTTGAAGGATCTGTTCTAATTTTACAGAAAATTTAGAGCGGCAACACTTACATACATCTTTTTGTAGCAGTTGAAGTAATTGTCCGAATGCTGCCGAGTTGACAGTTTTTGGACAGATAAAAATCCGGTTCTGTTCCGCTTAAGTTCTATCCGACTGTCGTGGAAACGGTACTTTCCATAGTCTCCGTCGCATGATATTAGCAACCGATCATCGATGTTTTGTGTGTTTGCGCCGTAACTTTCAATTTGCAAAATGATATTCAATACAGAAATTTTATCTGCTCTTGGAAAACAGTTATTTAACGTATGTATGAATATATTTGGTAAATATAATATTAATAATAATTAATAATTTGGCGAACACGAGTATCAGAACAAATCAGAATTAACGATAAACTGCCAGAAGCAACTAGACAGCGAATTCGTAGTTGCCAGAATGTTCTAGTAGCGAACTTTTGTTAAAAATTTACTATATAAGGGTTGCCGGAGTGTGCAGCAGACACAGTTCTAATTAGAGTGTTGCCGTGTAAAGAGCAATAAGGCTAAAAGCAAATGCCCTGTAATCTCCATTTCACAAATAAGCAGGAATACGAGTAACGTTACCGTTAGTGGATGTGTAGACGGTAAAAAGCGCATACTGGCTGTGGATACGGGCGCATCACATTTCCCCAGAAAGAAGTGAGACCGTTAGCTGGGGCAAAGTTGCGTACTGCAACTGGAGAAGATACCCTAGTTCTCGGAAAGGTAACGTGCGAGATCGTAATTGGGAAGGCAACCGTGTTACACAATTTTATAGTGGCAGATATCGTTGACGAAGTCATAATTGGAGTAGACTTTCTAGCGAATCAAGGAATCAAAATTGACATGAAAAACCGGATTATGTCCTATGGAAACATGGCTGTGCCACTTATGTTCGGTTACGATAATAAGTACAACGTTAGACGAGTGATAACAACGGAGTGCCAGCAGATTCCACCAACATCAGAAGCAGTTATTTGGGCAGAAATAGATGGAGACTATGGGACAAACAAGTGGTGGATTGTTGAGCCCACAAAAGAATATACACCAAACTTACTTATAGGCAAAACCCTGGCTATGACAAGACAAGATAAACGTGTTCCAGTAAGAGTACTTAATGAGTGCAAGTTACCAATCAAACTCTCCAAAGGAGCTATATTAGGGCAGTGTCAAGAGATTGAGGCCGTGATAAATTGCGAAATATGTCTTGAGGAAGATTTAATGGACAAAAACGATATATCGAGTGAAATTAACGCATTGACTAAGGAACTAGAGGCAAACTATCAAATTATGGCTAAACAACTTCTCAGATACTCATCCATATTTCATAAAGACGATGCCAAACCAGGAAGAACCAAAGTTGTGAAACATTTCATTAACACAGATGATGCAAGACCAATCCGCTAGGCTCCTCGAAGCGTTCCTTAAGCAAAACGTGAAGTTGTAAGCCAGACCATACGTGAAATTAGCGAAAGCGGCGTAATCGAACTATCAGAGAGTCCGTGGAGCTCAACTGTAGTACTTGTGAAGAAGAAAGATGGCAAGATGAGATTTTGTGTGGACTATAGAAGGTTGAATGATGTAACGAAGAAAGACAGTTATCCATTACCTATAATCGATGACACACTTGACTCGTTATCAGGCACAAAATGGTTCTCAACACTTGATTTAAAAAGTGGTTATGGCAAGTGGAGGTAAACGAAGAAGACAAAGAAAAGACGGCGAAGCGTTGGAGATGGTCTATGGCAATTTACCGTAATGCCCTTGGATTATGTAACGCTCCTGCTACTTTTGAGAGACTTATGGACAAGTTATTAAAAGGATTACACTGGAAGACCTGTTTAGTATACCTCGACGATATCATCGTGTTGGGTAAAAGCTTCGATGAACACCTTAAGAACTTGGAAGAGGTTTTCCAACGGATAGCTAGCGCTGGTCTGAAGCTGAGTCCAAAGAAGGGTTCCCTTTTTCAAAAAGGAAGTAAGCTACTTAGGACACAAAGTGACAACGGAGGGCATTTGCACAGCTAATGAAAAGATCGAGGCAGTAAGAGATTGGCCCACTCCTAAAAATTTACATGAATTGCGGACTTTCCTTGGACTATGTACTTATTATAGACGATTCGTTCCAAATTTTGCCAGCGTAGCTAGTAGCCTCCATGAACTCACGAAAAAGAACAGAGTTTTTGAATGGAATAAAGAACAGGAAGTGGCTTTCCAAACTCTGAAGGAGCGGTTAAGTACTGCGCCAATGTTGGCATACCCGGTCCCAGGATCAACGTTTATTTTGGATACGGATGCTAGTGGATTTGCAGTAGGAGGCGTTCTATCACAAGTCATTGATGGGCATGAAAAAGTAGTTGCATATTACAGCCAGACCATAAGCAAGCCAGAAAGAAATTATTGTGTTACTCGGAGGGAATTACTGGCGTTGGTGAAGTGCATCAAACATTTTCATAAGTACCTTTCTGGCCAGCGTTTTCATGTGACGACAGATCATGCAGCATTAAAATGGCTTCTACAATTCAGGAACCCTGAAGGACAGTTGGCACGGTGGATTGAGAGACTCCAAAGTTACGACTTTTGTATTGAACATCGCAAAGGTAGTAGTCATGGAAATGCTGACGCCATGTCCCGCCGTCCCTGTAATCTGGAATGCAGACGATGCTCAAAAGCTGAGGCCAAAGAAGACATTATAGATGTCCGATTAATGACTATAAAATCAGACTGGGATCCGGAGGAGCTACGTAAATGTCAGCAAGAGGATCCAGATTTGAAAAGTGTAATACACGGATTGAAGATGAATAAACGTCCAACGAGAGAAGAAATAGTTGCAGAAAGCCCAGTCGCAAAGGCTTATTGGGCACAATGGAATAGTTTGAAGTTAGTGTCTGGCTGCTTGCATCGCGTATGGGAAAGCGAAGATGGGCAAAGTTCACGAGCTCTGATGATTGCTCCAAAAGTAAGAATTCCTGAAGTTCTCCACGAGCTGCACAACGGTCCAAGTAGAGGACACATGGGTATCACCAAAACCTTGGAGAAATTAAAACAAAGATTTTATTGGGTTGGTTGTCGTCAATCAGTTACAGAGTGGATCGCCAATTGTGTCGAGTGCATTGCTGCAAAAGGGCCGCGGTCCAGGAGTCATGGTCAGATGAAGCAGTACAATTCAGGTGCGCCGTTTGAGCGAGTAGCCATGGATGTAGCTGGTTCATTTCCTATCAGTAAATTAGGACAGATATGTTTTGGTAGTCATGGACTATTTCAGCAAATGGCCAGAGGTATACGCAATTCCTTACCAAGAGGCAGGAACAGTAGCGGATGCATTCATCAACAATTGGGTATCGAGATATGATGTTCCAATAGAATTACATTCTGACCAAGGAAGAAATTTTGAATCAGCTCTAATACAGGAGATATGCCAAAAGCTGGGTATCCGGAAAACCCGTACAACTGCACTACATCCGCAGTCCGATGGCATGGTAGAACGATTCAATCGAACTTTGAAAGAACATTTGAGAAAAGTTGTAGACAAATATCAGAAAGATTGGGATACCCATATATCCTTGTTCCTGATGGCTTATCGGTCTGCTGTACATGAAACAACGGGGCAGACTCCAGCAAGGGTAATTTTTGATAATGATCTTCGACTACCGATTGATTTAAAATTTGGAATTAACGCCAACGGAGGAAGGAATACTAAGGAGTTCAATAGCATCCTAGAAGACGAGGTGAGGGATATACATGATATGGTGAGACAGCGCACCAAAATTATGAGCCGTAAGATGAAAGCAAAATACGACAAGGCAATAAACTCTGAGGGTTTTATTGAAGGCGATTGGGTATTGTTATATAACCCACAACGAAAGAAAGGGCTGTCTCCCAAATTACAGTGTAATTGGGAATGACCTTACCAGGTTATTAAACGACTCAATGATGTAGGGTATCGCATACAGACCATTAGAAGACCAAGGAATAAAATGAAGGTAGTTCATCTGGATCGGCTTGCAGCGTTTGGTACTGTACTACTCTACTTAGGTAGAGGGCAGTGTGGCGAACACAAGTACCAGAACAAATCAGAATTAACGATAAACGGCCAGAAGCAACTAGACATCGAATTCGTATTTGCCAGAATATTCTAGTAGCGAACTTTTGTTAAAAATTTATTGGATTGTGCAGCAGACACAGTTCTAATTAGAGTGTTGCCGTGTAAAGAGCAATAAGGCTAAAAGCAATAAGTTGTAAGTTCGAATAGCGAGCAATAAGTGTTAAGTTGTTGGAATTGGAAATAAAGATAAGTGTATAGCATTAAATTGGGACTTTAATTTAACAATCCAGTGATCGAGCTCAAGAGTGAGTTATAGTTAGACGATTTATGGAGAAATCCGTTACAATAATGTACGTATGGCTAATAGCTAAATCGTTGATACATAATGCGCACCTAGGTTCTTTCATATTTTCTTTTAATTGTGTTGGTAATGCGGACAAAAGTAGTCACCTGAAATTCAATTTATTTCAAAATGTCTGACAGGTAGAGATTAGTTCGAATTTTTAAATTTGTACACGGATTATAAACGTTCCTTATATGTAGATACATTGGTTTTGTTCATTGGGGTCAAAAATACAAAAAACTGAAAACAAAAGTTGCTTGGTAACGCGAAAAAAGATGAGAATTGTCCAGCATTTTGCTTGGCTTCGCGTTGAAAACTTTTCAAGTGAACGTATTCATACAAAAGCATGCATCGAAATATTTTGTCAAAACAAATGACTGACGTAAAGCGCAGCAAAAGTTCTATGTGAATTGGCCATTATGGTCTAAACAGCGAAACATAGCATAATAGCGCAGCGCGTTAGCAACATAAAGCATCGTACGTAAACATAACACATGATAGTTGTCAAATTTGTTGTCTTTCATAGTGAAAACATAAAAATATAAACTTAAGTTATGGAGACTGAAAATTCGATTTTTATTTGGGCTTTTTGTACCTCTAGCGAGCTTATAAAAAATGTTAGTTAAGCAGGCAACCTAGGCGCGGCTATTCGTCCAATAAATAGAGACCGCAGAATAAATGTACAAAAAAGATAAATGAGCATAATGTTTTCAGATACTTTGTCCTTGCAACGATGTATAAGTATATATATCTTAGTAAACCCAGTTTGTCCCATTATAAAGACATTGCTCATGACATCAAAGAAAGGTGGAACATTCCGAACTGTGTGGGAGCGATATTGCGATAACATGCCCAAAGAACTCTGGCTTCATGTACAATACTTTACCTAGAAAAAGTTCTACAGTATTATACCGATGACAACTTGCGACGTCAAGTACACCTTCATATTGGCCAGCATTGGAAGTTACGGCGGCGAAAGCGATGGTGGTAGGACTTATTGCTAATAATTAAACAAATATGTTAATAAATTATACGATATTACTTATTGCTAATAATTAAAAAAATATGTTAATAAATTATACGATATTTTTTTTAAAGGCATTTTCCAACATTCCAAATTTGGAAGGGAACTTCTAACAAGCCAGTTGCCGCTTCCACCAAGTACTCCGTCATGCAACGAGTCGAATGAAACCTTACCATATTTTTTCGTAGATGATGCAGCGTTTGAGTTAAAGACACACCTAATGCGATCCTATCCTGGTCATCAATTACCTCAAAGAAAAGAGGTATTTAATTATCGCCTATCATATGCGCCGCGTAATCGAGAATAGCTTCGGTGTTCTTTCTGCACCCTGGCGCGTACTTCGCACTGTACCCGAAGAACGTGGAAAAAATTGTGCTTGGATGTCTTATTCTACGCAACTTTGTCATGCTAAATGACCACCAGGCGATGGTATTGTTCAGACAATTATATTGATTCGGAAAACTCTTGGCGGCATACCAACTGGCGCAATTAATTGACAGCGTTTAATGGTTCTTTGCCTTCGACAAGCTCAACTCACCGAAATGCAACCGCAAACGCCTTTAAACTTGGGGAACAAAGAGCAGTTCCTTTTCAATGAATTAATGTCATCAAAACATAAATCTTTTTGCAATAAAAACAGTACAAGAAAAACTTTTATTATTTTAAAATTTATTTATTTTATTTGAATACATTTTTTTTATATATTTAAGTACTTACAAGGTGTATTCCAAAGTAAACAGGACTTTGAAAAAAAAGACAGAACAAAAAACATTTCGAACGAGTGTTTTAGATCGTTGACCGGTATGGCTGCCAGTATGCCGGTGCAAGCCTTTTGAATGGCCTCCACGTCTGCATAACGCTTTCCTTTCATCGGCAAATGCATATTTCCGAAAATGTAGAAGTCGCACGGTGCCATATCAGGTGAATACGAGAAGTGGTTGATTGTTAAAATTTTTGGTCAAATAATCAGCCCCAAGCGTCAATCGATGAGACGGCGCATTATCGTGCAACAAACGCCAACTTCCATCTTCGCGATATTCGAGCCGAACACGTCGAATACGGCGCACCAAACGCTTCAAAACCCCAAGGTAGAATACCGCATTCACGTTTTGGCCGGGTGGAACTAATTCTTTGTGGACAATACCCTTGGAATCATAAAAACAAATCAGCATTGTCTTTACTTTTAACTTCTCCAGGCGCGATTTTTTGGGTTTCGGCCAATTTTTAGTTTTACCAATTTTAAAACAAAATTTAATGTTGGGTCTTTGTTCGAAGCTCATTTTCGCACCGATGACAGGAACATACTGACACTTAAAATGCAATAACTTCACTTCCAATAGATGAAATGTCACGAAATTTTTACTGGAAGTCGATAAAGGATAGCAGAACGCACTAGTCGACATATAGATGGCGCCACTAGAGTTTACTTTTTTACTGTTTACTTTGGAACGCACCTTGTATGTGTGAGTTTTTTATATAATATAACAAAAAATTCATTTACATTATATGTTTAGGTACTTATAACATTTATATAAAAACGTTTGTATTTTAATATTACATGATTTATATATATAGGTACATATCCAAAGGAGATCAAATTTGAATTTGCTCATAATTGACGATATTAGCTGCCCAAATGACTGCAATGTCTCATTCCCTTTCTGTTTAAAAATTTTAAAACTTTCAAATAAAGGGAAATTTTCTTGCGACTTTGCCTCATTTTCAGACGCCCGTTCTGCCCGTTTGCATTCCCTGGGATATTGCTCTCTTATGGTTGATCACCGCTTGTGTGTAAATACATGTTATAGCATACAAATATGCAAAATATGGAAACAAACATACAAAACATACAAGCAATATAAGTAAAAATATGTAAATACACATACATGTAACACAAGTAAAAACATGAAAAAAAAATTTTACAATTTGTTAAAATATACAAACTAATAAGATTTAATAAATATACACACCTGTTGCTTTCAGCTCCTTTGCTATAGTAGCCCAAACTGACCTTTTCTTCTCCGGCAGTCTGTAGCCTACGCAATTTTTTTGTATAATACTTCGTGGCCTCGCACCAACCCCACTAGTCGCTCGTCGTCAAACATTCTAAAAATATGAATACGTTAAATAAATTAACTACCTTATTTCAATTACACTTGATTGTAAACTTACTATTCCCGCTCCTTGTGAATTCTTCGGTTTCGCTCTTGAGAAGAAAAAGAATACCAAATTGTCATTGCCACCAATATGGGCATTCCGAAAAAGTTGGATATACATAAAAATCAAAATTCAACAGACTTTTATGTTCTGTTCTGGTCTGTTAAACTAAGTTTCGGCTAATTGAATATACAAAAAAAAAACGCATATAACAGAAATTTTCACTGCTACGCGTTGTTACGCAATGGTTAGCTAATCAGACCATTTCACATGCAGACTTGTATGCATACTGGGTCGAAAGTCAGTTTACTATACACATGTGCGACATGATGTTCAAATATCATTTCGTTGTAATCGTTGAAGTGAACGATGAAAATGAGAAGCAAAATAAGACTAAAAATGAAAACAACGCTTTTGATACCAACAATTTTATAAAGAACGCGGAATATGGAGTTGAAACACGAGATATTGTGAAGGCCCTTGGATCTCTTTAGCCTATATTTGCTGTCGGAGATAATTTCCTAATAAAATTGCCCATGATTCACCAAATACGTCAGCATCATCGCGCATAGTTGTTGATTTTTCTGCCTGTTCAAGGTGTTGTATGGCCTTTTCATTGCCTTTGAGGTTGGCACGAACGGGAGAGCGTCTGACGCTAGAATATTCGCTCAAAGTAAATTTAAGGAAAGATTTGATGACAATAAAATGTTTATTCCCCAAGCGGCAAATATTCCAAAAGAGCCAGGAAGAATCCTTATGTTTTTGTAGGAGATGATGCATTCCCGCTTATGGAGAACTTAAGGAAGCCATTTAGTTGTACCCAATTAAGCGCCGACGAAACTATTTTCAATTACAGATTATCGAGAGCTAGACGCGTAGTTTTAATACTTTCGGAATATTATGCAGTCGCTTTCGTATTCTTGGAAACAAAATAAACATAATCTTATAAAATATTTAAAATAATTTTACCGTTGTTATATTCATAATTTCTTATCACGGAAAAATTAAGTGCAGTGTATGCTGACAGGGTCGATTTACAAAATGTTAGCACACATCATGTACAAAGCGCACATTTGAAAAGTACCTGTGAAACGCGTTCGTAATGGCAAAATAAAATTTTGTAAAGTGTAATAATGATAAAATAATACATAAATGTAGTAATAAATATACGTACATATGTATAAATGTACTTCCACATATAAAAATTAAGTGTCACGTTTTGTCCGGGGTTATCTCCTAACTACTGAACCGATTTCAGTAAAATTTAGCACATTTTTCAATCTGGATCCAACAAAAATGGTAGGATAGATAGATAGATAGATAGATATGGATAGAGATATGTACCGCGACCTATGGTCTATTGTGCCCTCCCCTACGTCACAACGACTCATCTAGCCCCAGCATATTGATAAGCTCCAATATTCTGCTGGGTGCTAGTGAAGCGATGAGATCCCTGTTTCGAAACAATGATCCCAGGGCCTTAATTCTGCGTCTGCAGACTGCTGTACCGTCCACCAGCAGGTGTTCTAGGGTTTCCGGCTCCATGTCACAGAACCGGCAGTTTGCAGAAGAGACTAAACCCATGTTGAATAAATGCTTATTGAGCCTGCAATGTCCGGTGTAGAACGCGACAAGTAGCCGGAATTTGTTTTTGTTGATATTGCCAATGTCTCTCCTTGCCTGCTCTTTCCGCTTTACGGAGCAGCTTTTTAGTGTGTAGACCAACCGCTGCGCATGGTTCTGGTCCTACCATTTTTGTGGAGGACGCAGAGCGGGCCAACTCGTCAGCCAGTTCATTTCCGGCTATACCCCTGTGACACCCAAATGAGGTACATTCTATTGTGGTTTGATAGGCTGTTCAGCCGTTCTATGCACTCCTGCACTAGTAGCGATTTGACCTCAAAAGCAGAGATCGCTTTCAGTGCCGCCTGACTATCGCTGAGTAGGGCAATACTTTTATTGCGATAGTTGTGTTGGAGGTTTATCTCTACAAACCGACTTATAGCATATACCTCCGCCTGCAAAATGCTAGGAAAACTTTCCATGAGAATGGAGAGCTTGGTGTGTGGTCCTGCGACCCCTGCACGAATCCTTGATTATCCCTTTGAACCTCCTAGTGAAGCTTACTGCTTTGGTAATGCTGTCCCTTGGAAGAAGGGCCAGTGGCATTTCATCACTTAGGGCCTTCATCTGCTGGGACGAGATTACCTTCCTTTTGCCAAGCCTTTCTGCTGTCATTCGAAGTAGGGTCTGTTCGACACTATATGTAACGGTGTGAGTTCCAGCATTATATTCCAGTGCTGCAGTCGGACACGTACGCATCGCTCCCGACGCGAAGATGCAGGCAAGTCGTTGCAGCTTTGATAGTCGAAGTTCTCCAAAATCTGGAATGCTTTGGAAACCAAGCCACCGCTCCATATGTTATGATCGGTCTCACAATCATGGTGTACAACCATCTGATAATCCTCTGGTTGCAGCCCCATGATTTTCCAGCAAGTCGATTGCACACCATGAGCGCTGTCGAAGCTTCGGCTAAGGTCAGGTCCACAAGTTGCTTCCACTGTAGAGTGGTATCCAGCGTGAGGCCTAGATACTTGACCGTGTTAGCCATCTCCAGCTCCCTGCCGCATAGGGATAGGTTTCTGAGGCCTGACAGTAACCTGCGCCTGGTAAACGGTATGGTTGTAGTTATGGAGGGGTTGATGCTTAAGCCAACCCTACTACACCATCCCTTTTCCAGTCTCAATTCCCTTTGTACAATATAGCAGAGAGTGTCTGCGAACTTATCCCTGGCTAAGATAACAATATCGTCCAAAAATCCCTGACAGCGGATTCCATTGCTGGTTAGCAGTTTAAGAAGATCGTCCACAACTAGGCTAAAAAATAGGGGGGATAGCACTTAAATTATACAAAAATTTTTATAAAATTTGTAGTAAAATGCCAAATGGAAAATTCATAACTTTGTCCATTGACAAATATTTGTATTAATCATTTTCTAAATTAAACCTCAAGTAAAATTCCTTGGATTCTTATACAGGCAATTACGTTTCAACATTGTTCGTAACATACTCCTATAAAAAATATTCGTAAACTTATATCTATATATGTATATAAAAGAAGGTCGTGTTACTTAAAAAGGGTGTTTTTTTAGAGGTATAGAACTTTAAATTGCAATAAAACAACGATGGATTATTCGGTTGTCATGAATTTTATTTATCTGAAAGATAATCTTGTGGCGTTACATTTTAAATATGATTTCTGGCATATGACCCCACGTCTGGCTCGGATGTAGTCCAATCTGGACATCCTATTTTCGATGAATTTTTCCAACATTATTGGCCGTATATTGGCAATAACACGGCGATTGTTGTCTTCCAAATGGTTAAGCATTTGTGGCTTATGCACATAGACCAATGACTTTACATAACCCCACAGAAAGTAGTCTAGCGGTGTTAAACCACAAGAGCTTGGAGGCCAATTCACAGGTCCAAAACTTGAAATTAGGCACAAATTAGATTGTGGCACGAGCTGTGTGGCATGTTTCGCCGTCTTGTTGGAACCACAGAATGAAAAAGTTAGTAATCATGGCTCTATACCGATCACCATTGACAGTAACGTTCTGGCCATCATCGTTTTTAAAAAAGTACGAACCAATGATTCCATCAGCCCATAAAACGCACCAAACAGTCAGTTTTTCTGGATGTAACGGTGTTTCGACATACACTTGAGGATTAGCTTCACTCCAAATGCGGCAGTTTTGCTTGTTGACGTAGCCAGTCAACCAGAAGTGCGCTTCATCGCATCATTCATAAAATGAACGTAGTGCGCGATACGTATTCCGCACAGAACCATTATCTTCGAAATAAAATTGCACTATTCGCAAGCGTTTTTCAGGCGTGAGTCTTTTCATGATGAATTGTCTAATCAAACTGGGAATAAATCACTTGACAGCTGTTAAATCGGTCGCCATCTTGAACAGTAATGCCAACTTAAAGCTTTATACCTCGGAAATAAAAACACCCGTTACTATCTATAACTCGTGAACGACGATCTGGCTGAAAATTGGTGGGGAGGTAGCTTAGAATAGAGGACACTTTTTATTTCTTTATATTAAAAATCAATACAATTCATAAATACAAAAATTATCTCTCAAATTATAATCATTTGAATATTTTATTACTTAAAAAAAAAATAATAATAATAATAAAAACACAAAGCTGCTGTAAGAGTACAGCAATTTTCTTAAACATACATGGATTGCACTGGTTGTTGCTACTGACCGAGGCGGTTTTTTGTTAGGACGCACCATGTGGAACCGGTAAGACAATTATAATGTCTCAACAGAAAATCGCGTTGACATTTGCATAGCCAAGGCATTGCGGCTACTTTGTTAGATTAAGAACGAAAGACGCACAGACATTCATAAAAAACCAAACTCAGCATCTAACAGAAAAAATTGCTGTGCGTTGATAAAAAGTTTAATATTAATTTTAAATGAGTGCAAAATGGCTCAGAAATATTCTCGAAGCACTGCACAGACCAATACAATAATAAACGGCAACAATGAAGTTTTCGATGGTGCTGTTTGACGGTGATTACCGACAGCCCGGTCCTCTTTCGCTTTGAGATTAACGAATGCTTATGCAATCGTTCTCATGGTGATTCAACATTTCACTATAAGAACTTAAATTGATCGTAATATTTGCGAACATTTGAAACTGATCCGCCTTCAGAAATAATTCAATTCATAAAAAAAAATTTATTAATTGAGAGCATATTCCTGAAAGGAAAGATTTGGAACATGGCTGACTCAGTAATCAGGCTATATTTAGGCCAAAAATATATATGTTGACGAAATTAAAATCCCGACAATCGATATATTTTAAATCATTCGCTACTGTTGTTGATGCAAATGAAAATGTAAATTACCTCGATATAGCAGGAATGATATCACATAATCTTCGGTTGAAAATTGGTTCACCTATTATCATTCGGCGTAATTTTGATCCACTTCAATTATGCAACGGTTCACGTTTGGTAATCAAAAAGATTACAGGAAATATTATTTCAGCAACCATTTTGACTGGAAAATTAAATGAAGAAATGGTTCTCTTGGCCCGTTTTCCAATGATACTGTCAGAATGTACAATACTGAATTAAATTGAATTTGCAATTTTTTAAAATTAACTATAAGTATTAGCAGAGAACGTATATCATAGAGAAGGTTCACAGTGCGGCCATTAGCAAAATATTTCATGCTTCACAGGGGAACTGAAAAAGATGAGCGTGTTTCACCACATTTGGAAGGGGTCCTGAAAACGATGAGCGTGTTTCACCAAATGTCCACAATTAACATCAGGGGACTGAAAAATAGTAGA